CGAACATCCAGATCAGGATAATTTAACCAGGCTATATTGTCCGACATGAAAATGATTGCGGTGGAAATTTAGTAGAAAATTAGCAAATAGTACCGATTTATAGGGAGGAAGAAGATAATGAACCTGTAAAGAGGATAATGAACATATATAGAAGATAATGAACATGGAACGAAGACAATGAACATGTAAAGAGGATAATGAACATATAAAGAGGACAATGAACATGTAAAGAAGATAATGAACTTATAAAGAGGACAATGAACATGTAAAGAGGATAATTAACATATATAGAAGATAATGAACATATAAAGAGGACAATGAACATGCAAAGATGATAATGCACGTTTAAGGAGGATAATGAACATATATAGAAGATAATGAATAATGTAAAAAGGATAATGAACATGTAAAAAGGATAATGAACATGTAAAGATGATAATGAACATGAAAAGAAGATAATGAACATGTAAAGAGGATATTGAACATGTCAAGAGGATAAAGAACATATAAAGAGGATAATGAACATGTAAAGAAGATAATGAACATGTAAAGAGGACAATGGACATGGAACGAAGACAATGAGCATGTCAAGAGGATAAAGAATATGTAAAGAAGATAATGAACATGTAAAGATGATAATGAACATGTAAAGATGATAATGAACATGTAAAGATGATAATGGACATGTAAAGAGGATAATGAACATTATAAAGAGGACAATGAACATGTAAAGAAGATAATGAACATGTAAAGATGATAATGGACATGTAAAGATGATAATGGACATGTAAAGAGGATAATGAACATTATAAAGAGGACAATGAACATTATAATGAGGACAATGAACATGTAAAGAGGATAATGAACATGAAAAGATGATAATGAACATGTAAAGAGGACAATGGACATGTAAAGAAGATAATGAACATGTACAGAGGATAATGAACATGTAAAGATGATAATGAACATGTAAAGAGGATAATGAACATGGCTGGAGACAAAAGACCGCTAATGCTATTACCTCCTGGGGTCGTAATGGAACAAAAGGGTATAGTAGCATTTGCTATACTCTAGAATTATCTGGACAGGTCTATTGTTACCTATAAGTACTTACTATAAGATTAACATCTTGGGTATTGTTAATTGAGTACTTGGTATCAATAGAAAATGGACTAGTGTCTCCAGATGTCGGCCCAAATTTGGAGGGAAATTCAAATTATTTTCTTTGTTCAGAGCAACACCTATCGGAGGATATATATATAGGGATAAAAACATATTTTTGGGGACTCTCGATTTGGCAAGCAAGGAAGGAAGGACATAACACTCATTCTTTAGCATTGGTAGGAGTCGGTAAGCTGTGTAGATTCCATTTTTTTGGGTATTTCTAGAATTTCAGTTTCGGAACTTTAGTGTTAGATTGTATAGAGTATTAGATTGTATAGTTCAGTGTTAGTAGAATTTTGTGTGCATTTGACGGAAATAAAGAAGGATTGTTATATATTTGAATCTGCCTCTAATTCATTGTGTCTTGGGAAAAAGGATAGCCGTAGTCTGAAGTCGGTCAGTCTTTAGGCATACCTAGCCTACTGCCCTATTGGACTAGAAAAACAATAACACCTCCAGCAGATAGCCAACAACTCCGTTGCAACATGTAAAAAAGATATGAACATGTAAAGATGATAATGAACATGTAAAGAAGATAATGAACATGTAAAGAGGATAATGAACATGTAAAGAAACTCACCGATTGTTAGGATATTCAGTCAAACTAGTGAATACAATAACGAGCTACCTTAAACAAATTAAAAACAATCCGTTCACAGTCCATATATTTCTAATTATAGTCCCATTGTACATCAACCGTAACGACACAGAATTACACGGGCAACTTGCTTTTGAAAAACAGTCGAAGCGTTTGACATTTTCCAGTCGTAGATATGTAGATTGTTTTTAACAGTCCATATATTTAATTGTAGTCCAATTGTACATCAACCGTAACTATAATAGTATACTGAGTAGAATAGTCCACAAAGGGACGCAAGATAACACCCCACTCGCCCCCACCAATGAATTGAAAGCTGTTCATTGAGGACGTCACACTAAATTTCAAGTTGAGTTATTTAGATGGACAGATATTATACTCTGTGAGTTCAATGTTAATATATATTTAATCTGACGCGAAGTTGTATTAAATTGAGTCACTATCTTGTTTACTTCGAGTTGCGACCAAAAATTGACAACAATTTAAATTATGTTTTGCGTATTCGGAAGGGGGGGTAGGCGGTGTATATGACCGCCCTGATATGTGTCCACTACCAGGTTGAACATATACAAGGATGGACATATACAAGGAAGAACATACACCAGGTCGAACATATACCAGGTTGGCGAGAAAGCGAAGAAAAAGGCGAGGAAAAAGGCGAGAAAGCGATGAAAAAGGCGAGAAGGCGAGGAAAAGGGTGAGGCGGTATATATGACCGCCCTGATATGTGTCCACTACCAGGTTGAACATATACAAGGATGGACATATACAAGGAAGAACATACACCAGGTTGAACATATACCAGGTTGGCGAGAAAGCGAAGAAAAAGGCGAGGAAAAAGGCGAGAAAGCGATGGAAAAGGCGAGAAGGCGAGGAAAAGGGTGAGAAAGCGAGGAAAAAGGCCAGGAAAAAGACGAGGAAAAAGGCGAGAAAGCGAGAGTAAAAAAGGCGAGAAGTCGAGAAAGCAAAAATTTTCCTCGCTTTCTCGCCTTTTTCCTCGCCTTTTTCCTCGCTTTCTCGCCTTCTCGCCTTTTTCCTCGCTTTCTCGCCTCCTCGCCTTTTTTTCGCCTTTTTCTTTGCCTTTTTCCTCGCTCGAGTTTCCTCCCTTGCTCGTGGGCGAGATGTCGAGAGCAGATATGGTCGCATCCTTTTCATGATCCTTGAGCAATTGTATTACCACCTTCCCTACTAAATCCTTAATATGTTCATCTATGTGTATGTTCAACTTAGCAGTAGACATATATCAGGGCTGTCAAATACTAATTAACCCCATGTTGAAAACCCCTGATGTAAAGAAACTCACCTGTTGTATGATGTCCTGGTTTTTCAGTGTTTTTCCTTCAAGAGTTAAAAGAAAGCTTCTCATACAGGGCAATAATACATTCAAATGCTTAAAAAAATGATGATAATTGTGCATTCCAAGTAAAATGTTGATTTCGCATTATATTTCCATTGTAAATCGTCCGTAACAAGACAGGGTTACACGGGCAACTTGATTTTGTACAGCATTTCACGTTTCCACAATTTAATGTATTTTATGAACACGAGAAACTTTTGTTGTGCACTATGCCATAGTGTTGTATACTGTCCCCTTGTGTTGTGCACTGTCCCCTTGTGTTGTGCACTGTCCCCTTGTGTTGTACACTGTCCCCCTGTGCTGAGCACTGTCCCCTTATGTTGTGCACTGTCCCCTTGTGTTGTCCTATGTCCCCTTGTGCTGTACATTGTCCCCTTGTGTTGGGCACCGTCCCCTTGTGCTGAGCACTAGCCCTTGTATTGTACACTGCCCCATAGTGTTGTGCACTGTCCCCTTGTGTTGTACACTGTCCCATTGTGCTGAGCACTGTCCTTTTAGGTTGTGCACTGCCCCCTTGTGTTGTGCACTGTCCCCTTGTGCTGTACACTGTCCCTCTGTGCTGAGCACTGTCCCCTTGTGTTGTGCACTGTCCCCTTGTGCTAAGCACTGGCCCTTTGTATTGTACACTGTCCCATTGTGTTGTGCACTGTCCCTTTGTTTTGTGCACTGTCCCGTGTGCTGTGCACTGTCCCCTTGTGTTATGCACTAGCCCTTGTATTGTATACTGCCCCATTGTGTTGTGCAATGTAGAAACGGGATGTTGAATTGTTACTCATTAAGTTGGCAACCAGGTTTACCACACCACTATCTATCTACAGGCTTGAAACCAGCGAAATCCTCCTTTAATTCCTTCCATTGGCCAATTTTGAGAATAATGCCCCAGTACCCCCCGGGACTATCGGCAATATCCTTGTCAAAACAAAGGGGTTACTGAAAAAGATATTTTGGAGATGAAAAACTTAATAAGGGCGCCTTTGACTCTGCTGGATTTTCATTATGAATGATTCGGGATATTTCAATAAATGACGTCATGGCAGTAAGTCCCGGATGTTATGTTTGATCAAGAGATATGCGCATGCGTTGTGTTGGTTCCTGGATCAAAATACAGCGTGGAACAAATAGAAGAATTCTGCAGGAATAGTTTTGTTCCCAGAGATCTAGAACATGTACCTGTATGTCCAAGATATTTTATTTTAATGGACAAGATTCCTGTACACGAATCGGAATATAAAACCGGATAGAATGGCCACGGAGAAATACGCTAAACATTATTTAAATCTATAAACCTAACCTATATTCTTGTGTTATAGTTGTTAGCTTAATAAATATTAATAAATATTACAAGATTTCTTGTATCATGGAATGCAGCGATGTTATTAGATTGTACACTAGCGCATACAGCGCATACAGCGCATACAGCGCATCAGAGACCTCGATAGAAAGCTGCAAAAATTACCTTTGTTGACTTTCCCATGGCTGCATTTACAAACTTCTATGATATGACAAAGTTGGCTTTTGCAGTCAAGGTATAAGACGTATTGTGTAATACCAATAGCTTGACAATGTGGAGATGCCCAAAGATATACAAACCATTTAGCAAAAGGACTGCTCTGGACGAAAAAAACTTTTTTTTAACCAATTACAGGCCCTTTATCTGCACATTAATATGGAAAAAGCGTTTAGTCACTCAGATGAGGCAACGAAGGCCCTGTATGCAACAGGCTGTGCACGTTACAGTC